ATGACCTTGTCTTTCCTATGCCTCCTTCCTTCTTGCCAACTTACGCTATTAGGAGAGTAAGCACATTAGCTTCAAGTTCGTTCAGAATACAATATCTGTTGAAAGTAGATAGCTGCTTTGAAGACCCTGCTACGAAGCTCTTCAAGCAGAGATTGTTTTTTGATAAATAAAGGCAATATTATTGGAAAAGCATCAAGCCAATGTTAAAGAATACAAGAATAAAGAACACATACCAACCACACCACCTAACCACAAACAGAGTCTAAGCAGAGATTATGTATCAACTCTTACAACTTCAATCACATGAAAGAGCCTTTTCCAACGCAAATTCATATTTTAGATATAATCTAGTGGAGAATGAAACAAAAGCTGCTTTCCGACATCGATGAAAAACTCAATCTGTGAATTCCATTTCATTATTAAAGAATTATGTTTGTGACCAAATGTTCCAGCTCGCTACTGAGAAAGAAGCCAACCATAGTTGACTGAGCGAGCTCAATTACAGTTTTTTATTACAGCAAACATTAAATATGTTTATGCTTATTTTTGATAAAAAAAAATAAAAAATAAAAACAAAAGAAATGTTTGACACGCATGTTTTAAATAGTTGTTTGAAAACAAAAGGGAGGGTGGTGGTCAGAGACAATTGTTGGCAGAAGGAGGTAGTGGAGGTTGTTGCCAGTGGTCGAAGGTGCTGGCTAGAGGTGGGAGGGACTTGCTGAAGGCAATGAGTCAATGACCAATGATGAGAGGTGGCTACCTAAGGTAGGGGAGACACTCTTGGTGATGGCAGTGTTTTAAAAAGCCCTAGGCGCATCGAGGCGCCAAGGTCACCTGGAGCTTAAGCCCCAAGGCGCGAGGCGAGGCGCGCGCCTCACCAAAGCGAGGCGCAAGTTATAGAAGTTAAGCAAAATATTAACAAAGCACAGTTTTCAACATAAACAAATATTTAATATGTATTTTTTTTGAAAACGAAAATAGGCACCAGATAGTTTTTGTTTCTAGTTTACAAAAATTTTGTAAACATGAACAAGAAATTATAAACATAAATGTTACCAAATGGAGATTGTGTTTTTGTCTGTTTTTTCAAAAATAAAAAAATGAAAATATTGAAAAACACCTGAAGTTTTCATTTTTGCAAAAGCACGAAAACAATTTTTGAAAATTTAAAAGCAACTTTACGATGTTCCCAAAAAGTGGATTGGAAAAAAAATCCTGAAAACAATTTTCGAAAGCAAATTGCCAAACAAGTTTTTCGTGTTTTCTAAAAATGGAAAAACAGAAAAGAAAACACAACCAAATAGTTCTTTTTTTAAAATCCTAAAACAAATCAAATAGGAAATTCTACTCAAACAAAGTCAAATTCTTCAAAAGAAGAAGTCCCAAGACGTTATGAATAAAAACCAATTTTTAACATAAAAAATATATATATACATAATTTAAAAAATCATAACAATTTTCAATAATCTCTAAACATAACATTCAATCTTCTAAAAATTAGAAATATAATATCCAACAAGAGATATAGGTCATGTTTGATTCACAAGATTAATAGTGAAGTATTAATAATCCTATTAAATTAGTGTGGTATTCATTATCCAATTGGATTAATATCTATGGGATTAATAATCCCACCCCTACCCCATTACTAATAATCCTACAAATTTGTTGGATTAATTAATTGGATTAATAATCCTAAACCAAAATGTTAAAACAAATATAGGATAATTAGGCCCACAGATTAATAATCCCAATCCATACTCTAATCCACCCGATCAAACATGCAAATAAAGCATAGCATTCAATCTTTTATCACTTTCTACTCTCTTTTGACCACATTTGATCGTTTTATATTGAAGAGTTTTGAATCCCTATAGGCATGTCCACAAAAAAAGCACTTAATCGACAATTAGAGTAGAAAAATAGGTAAAACCCATGAAGCCCGCGCCTCGCGCCTCGAAAAAAAGCCATCGCCTCAGCGCCTAAGCTGCGCCTCACGTATTGCGCCTCGCCTCGACCTGTTCGAGGCGCAAGGCTGCGTCTCATTGCGCCTCGCGCTTAGGCGTGCGCCTAAGCGCGCTTTTTAAAACACTGGGTGATGGTGTCATTGAGGAGTAAGTTCATTGAGGAGTAAGTAGTGGCCAGACAGGTGGAGGTAAGAAGGAATGAATTTTTTTTTTCAAAACAAGTAACCTACTTTTTTTTTATTATTTTAATAATAGAATTTAGTAATTTTTATAAATTGTTTGCATTTTTTTGAAAACGAAAATAGGCACCAGATAGTTTTTGTTTCTAGTTTACAAAAATTTTGTAAACATGAACAAAAAATTATAAACATAAATGTTACCAAATGGAGATTGTGTTTTTGTCTGTTTTTTCAAAAATAAAAAAACGAAAATATTGAAAAACACCTGAAGTTTTCATTTTTGCAAAAGCACGAAAACAATTTTTGAAAATTTGAAAACAACTTTATGATGTTCCCAAAAAATGGATTGAAAAAAAAAAATCCTGAAAACAATTTTCGAAAGCAAATTGCCAAACAAGTTTTTCGTGTTTTCTAAAAATGGAAAAACAGAAAAGAAACACAACCAAATAGTTCTTTTTTTAAAATCCTAAAACAAATCAAATAGGAAATTCTACTCAAACAAAGTCAAATACTTCAAAAGAAGAAGTCCCAAGACGTTATGAATAAAAACCTAAATAGTTGAGTGTAACAACTGTGATATGAACTTGAATATGAGCAGGACAGTTGGCATTAATCAGTTCCAACAAAGGAGGAAGCAATTACAGCCCTATCCCAATTTTTCTCTCAATCGTAGCTGCCAGGTATCTATAAATGTGGATGTGGAATCTAACAATGCATGACACTTGTCAAGAACCCAGGCTTTCTTGATCATATCCATTGTGTCAGCTAACATAACTTCCTACATCAAAGGGGTAGTTCTTAACAGCTAGGAAAGAGACACATGGCGAGGTTTAAAGGTCTTTCAAGAACATGGGTGGTTATCTCAAGTTCTAAGTGATTGTTCATGGTGAAAAAACACCAGAAAACATGTAAAGTGGGGTTGGCAAGAGAGCATGCGACACGTCGCAGAATTTGGTTGGAACCACAGGCACAGATTCAGGTCTGGAAATTGCCAACACATACTGGAGGCTTTTCAGGAACCTGTGTAGGATTTTCAGAAAGTAGTTGATGGATTATGGGTTTAAGTCAACAGAAAAATGAAGGTAATGGTTCTAGAAGATGCAGGAGACAGTTAAGAATAGAAGATTTGAAGACATGGCAAAGTATCCAACACCACAAACAAAAAATCTATTTTACAACCAATTCAACTTGGGCTCAGCACCTCTATCATTTTATAGCTTCAATACATTCGCTTTCCTTCGTTTACCTATAGCTTTTTACAACTGATCAGATTTGTAAACTGGTACTATTCATCAAAGGTAATGTTTACTTGCTTGGTTTAGTTCATTGTCCTTCGTTTTTGTCGTGTCAAGGCGAGTTTTGCACTCACACTCGTAGGAAATTGTCGAGTCCTATTCACTGAGGCAAGAAAAAACTTGTGTGGCTTTTCCCTTCAGTTAAAATCTTTTGTTTGCTTTTAAAAAGTTAAATTTGGGTAGATCGCTCTCCACCGTATTTGGATCATACTTGATCTTGGCACTCCCGTAATTAAATTCAGGCCTTGATTGTTTTCTCGTTGCATTCGACATACAATCATAGTTAGAATCTTATGATTCAAAGTTCGATTCATATGATTCGATATGAGTTTCAAACAAAACGATTCAATTCGCACAGTTGAATCTTAAATTTTGAATCTTATGATTCAATTATGATTCACAACAATTCAAGCGGTTTAGTTTTATTTGCATAATACCATCATTTTCACAAAATTAAAATTAAAAAAGATCAACTAATTATATTGATGTGTGTGATTTCATATGTATGTTGTATTAATATTTATTTCAATTTAAGCATTATATGTTTATATATACATGTATAAAATTACATATTATGTTAAATAAAGTGAATCTTACAATTCATGATTCAATATGATTCACCATTCACTATTTTAACAAAATGATTTATGATTTGATTCGCTATTTGACAACAATGGACACAACAGCTTCGCGATCGTATCAAGATCTAGATTCTACCTAGTTCCACCATATTATACTCACTAGCATTCATATAACCTAATTAGGAGTACTTGCAGTTCGGTTGTGGCCGGAGAACTTCTAATCCGCCATCTGTCCGCCGAATTGGTGAAATGAAAAAAATCAATCCCCATCCGTTTGCCGGATCGACGGATGGATGCGAATTAGTTTAGCGGTTTAAATTTTTACAAATTTTAAACATAATACAACAACTTATCAACATTTTTTTTTAGACAACAATCAAACTCAACATAACCAAAAGATTATCAAGTAAATTATTAAATACCAATAATAAATATATATAAGAAAACTATGCATTATCAAAACTATTTTATTATTTTTCTTTGTTTTTATTCAAAACTATTTAATTTGATTTTTAAAAAAAATTACAGAATTAAGCCTCATATTTTTCACACAAAAATATCAAATATCAACACTTGTCATTTGATAAAAAGATTTCTAAATTGAAAACTCAAAATCTTACAAATTACTAAGGGTGTTTGAGGTTTGACGATTCGGTTGTGGCCGAAGGAACCTCAAATCCGCCATCCGTCCAAAATTAGGCGGAATGAAAAAAAATCAATCGCCAACCGTCCGTTCGTTATCACGTATCCGTCCAAAATGCGGCGGATCGGTTCAGTTTGGTTGATTTATGCGGATCGGAATATCCGCTGAGCACCCCTAAACCTAATACATGAAATGAGTCGGACCTCAAAAAACAAACACTATATGAATAAAGAAAAAGAGTGCTTGGTTCAAAAACACAAGTAACAGCTTTACCTGACCTGAAAAGGAATGCATCAATAAGGTTGAAAAATAACTCGGAACATAGCAAAAGAACATAACAATAAAGCCACATTTCCAAAAAATTGCAGCCATATTTATTCACTGCCTTATTGAAGAGTTCCCACTTACAGGATATCTTCTCACTGTGCCATAAGATGGAAAAGAAACAATTGTAACACTATTCAGCCCTAAGCTTATCAGTGCTTCTGAAAGGAACTATAGCGGTTCTCTTATTAGATGGATTATGTGATTTACCTACAATTGTATCATCTTTATTATTACCTGTCCTGTCATTTTCCTCTTGACGCTTAATATGGCCATCAGATTTAGGGTTGACCTCTGAATGCTCATCATCTGGAGATAAAATCTGCTACAAAAACCTATGTATCATCTCGTAGCTGGTAAATGTTATAACAGCAGATGGAGTCGTTCTCAATAGATTAGTTGCACAGCCACGGTAGAAGCCTGGAAGACCTTCCTTCTGGAATACCTGTTTAATGCATTCAACAACACCAGCATACTTGACCTTGGAATTCCTCAATTGTCCTTGCTCTTGCAATCTGGAATGCACAACCTGGTGAATATGAAAATTCAAATCTTATGACAAACAAAATAAAGGTGCTAATATACTGTGTATGTAAAATATAGGTTGTGTTTGGTTGTATTTCCAAACAATGATTCTACACCCATATTCAAATATGATGTTTGGTTGTAATTCTCAAATCACGTTTTCAAAACTCTGCAGAAAATTCTGTCTCAGACGCGTTTTTCAAAAAAAAAATTTCAAATTTGGCCTAACCGGTCGTCCCACCGGTCGTCCGGCCGGTTGACTGGAACAGTGAATTTTTTTTTTTTTGCAATTGACATGTTAATTTTTATATATTCGAAAAAAATATTTTCTGAATTTTTTAATTTTTTTTGTATTTTAATAGAATTTTGAGTTGTGTGTTTGGTTATGAGTTGTAAGTTTTTGTATCAAATATCATATGTTACATCAAAAATTCTCCATTCAATTCAAAACTCTTTCACCAAACAAATTTTCCACACTCAAATCATAATTCTAAAACTCACAAATTCAAAATACAATTCATACTTTCAAATCATATTTACAAAACTTTACCAAACGCAACCATAATTTTTTTGGCAGGCACTAAGTTGTCATAGTGACTAGTGAGCTACAGAAGAAAGCCCAGGGATACATACCTCATGTGGGTAAGTCATTACTGAGGCAACTACTTCAGATACGGGAGAAGCAATTGCAAGTTTCCCAGGACTTACCTTGTTGGGGGTTGTATTGTCTGATAACATCGAATAAGTATGATCAGCACAAATTACGTGTCACTGTTACGCATGATTCCTATAGCTAAATCAATTTTGAAAATGTAAAATTTGATGTATATTATTGATTGATGTATTGATTGTTGATTTTCTGTATATTACAAATGGTTCCTTAAATAGATGTAGGTGTAGTGGATGGTGGTGGTAGGTGAGTGTAGTAGGTGAGTGTGTGGTAGGTAATGGTAAGTGTGTGGTAGGTGATGGTAAATTTTAGGTGAGTGTGTGGTAGGTAATGGTAAGTGTGTGGTAGGTGATGGTAAATTTTAACAGAAAAGAAAAACGAAAAGAAAGAATGACAAAAAGAATATATTCATTACCCCTTCTTGCTAAGTAGGACTTAATCTCTTCATATGCTGGAAATTGGATTGCGACATGACTTATTCCAGCTAATGAAGGCAAAAGACCACTGTTTAAACCACAAAAATGGCATTATGACACAAAAAATAATGATTCAGAGATACTTCCAACAACTTAGATGGGCCGCTATCTATGATGACAAAACCATTCCAAATACATCAATAAGCAAATTTATTCCGGTGCTTTAGAGGTGCATCATCAAGCCTGACATCTATAAATTTACATTTAAAAAACTTACTGAGAAACACTCACCTATACATCCCCCGGATTCCTTCCTCACGTGCAATCCTTCTTAAAGCAGGAAAAATGCCTGTGTATGGAACCACACCTGGTCTCATCCCGTGTCTAAACAAGGAAAGAAATGAAAAGTACGAATGATTCGAATATGATATGATATGAACTTTTAGAGATGTCAAGAACAGTTCAGCAAACACAAGTGTCATTACAAGCCACATTCAATTCCAAGGGACTGAATCAACTGAAAGTACTCAATTTATCAAAGTGCTAGTGAAAAATGATTCATGTAGCTGCCCCCACTTGATTGGAACACAAGAGTTAGTTTGGTTTGCTTTATCAAACGTGCAAGCCATAATTGAAGCACAGATCACGTGGTCCATGTTGTCATTAAGAAATGAGTATAGGCCTAAATCTTATAGCTCTGATACCATGAAAAAATTTGATGTATATTATTGATTGATGTATTGATTGTTGATTTTCTGTATATTACAAATGGTTCCTTATATAGATGTAGGTGTAGTGGATGGTGGTGGTAGGTGAGTGTAGTAGGTGAGTGTGTGGTAGGTAATGGTAAGTGTGTGGTAGGTGATGGTAAATTTTAGGTGAGTGTGTGGTAGGTAATGGTAAGTGTGTGGTAGGTGATGGTAAATTTTAACAGAAAAGAAAAACGAAAAGAAAGAATGACAAAAAGAATATATTCATTACCCCTTCTTGCTAAGTAGGACTTAATCTCTTCATATGCTGGAAATTGGATTGCGACATGACTTATTCCAGCTAATGAAGGCAAAAGACCACTGTTTAAACCACAAAAATGGCATTATGACACAAAAAATAATGATTCAGAGATACTTCCAACAACTTAGATGGGCCGCTATCTATGATGACAAAACCATTCCAAATACATCAATAAGCAAATTTATTCCGGTGCTTTAGGGTGCATCATCAAGCCTGACATCTATAAATTTACATTTAAAAAACTTACTGAGAAACACTCACCTATACATCCCCCGGATTCCTTCCTCATGTGCAATCCTTCTTAAAGCAGGAAAAATGCCTGTGTATGGAACCACACCTGGTCTCATCCCCTGTGTCTAAACAAGGAAACAAATGAAAAGTACGAATGATTCGAATATGACATGATATGAACTTTTAGAGATGTCAAGAACAGTTCAGCAAACACAAGTGTCATTACAAGCTACATTCAATTCCAAGGGATTGAATCAACTGAAAGTACTCAATTTATCGAAGTGCTAGTGAAAAATGATTCATGTAGCTGCCCCCACTTGATTGGAACACAAGAGTTAGTTTGGTTTGCTTTATCAAACGTGCAAGCCATAATTGAAGCACAGATCACGTGGTCCATGTTGTCATTTTCTCAAATATTTTAAAATCTTTAATAATTTATTATTTATACCACAATGCTATTGCCCAACTTTGACCATATACTGTAAAGAAATTTGATGTGAGGATGTTTACGATAAGTAGTTTCATCAATAAACGGAACAGTGGGGCTACACAAGAATACAATGGTATTACAAGTAAAGGGAAATGAACTGACATATCTCAGTTCAAATGATGAAAGTGATGATTTTAGACATTATAAGATTGAAGAATATGAGTTTGCTTGCAAACAACAGGGGACAGACTTCAAATTCCTGTAGTCTACAAAAAATCAAAGACTGGTGAGAGGATTTAAAGTGGGACTACAACAATCTCCAACCCACAGTTACAAATCAACAAATGCATGGGATCTCCATAATGCAAGTCAATCACATCCAACCGACACCAAAATGTGGGACTTCATCATTTATTATTTCTAGACTGGCCAGCACAAAGATACTTGCTTAAGAATGGATCAAGCTCATTTATGAAATCTCAAAAAATCTTAAGGAAGTATTTTGCCACTGGCATGGAGAAATATCTAGCAATCTTAAACATCGGCAAGTATCGACCTTGAAGATCCCTCTAGGTCCATCACTAGTACAAAGAGATTCAGGACATTTCCGTGGATCTCCTACTTGACACAATTCCCAAGTGGACTTTCTTAATAAAAGCAGAAATCTGACCTCAGAAACTTGTACGTGTATTCACGTGCCTACATATGAGAGTTTTAGCTTGCATATTATTATTTATGAGGTGGGTAAGGATTTCTAGTGAACACACTGATATAATACTTCTAGGCTTCTAAATAAAGCTAACTTCAACTGATACAAAAAATTGATATCATAGACTATGATTTTTTTATGAAATTTTAACCAATGGCAAACAAAGTATCAGTTCAGTTCCTAAATATAAGGGTCATCGAAGTTATGTGTGAGCTCAATACTCATTATTTCAAGATATCGTAGATTCAAGATCACCTCTGAAGTGTCTCTACACAAACATGCAAGCTTACCTTTTCATGAAAATAAACCAAAGTTGCCCCAGTACAATGCTTCTGTCAAATTCCAAACCATGCATCAAGTGACAGTTCATTCTCAAGCCATGTGATACACGGATCACTGTCAAGTGCACCGAGTGAATTAGTTTTCTTTGGAATAAGGCATCATTGGGATTTAAAAGGCAGCATATCTCATGCATCAATTTCTTTTTGTTAATCACATATTTCAAGGTATGCCCTTAAAAATCCCACCTTTGACGAGAAGGAAAACTTACAAGAGTAGCAGAAAAAAATCAAATGGTGATGATATAAATCTAGTACTACCGAGTCTTGAAGGATGCCAAAAGCAACCTTCAGACCCTTCTCCAAGTCCAGAAGTGATGCCCCAATAACCATGAGATATTATAAACCACTTAACATTAATTAAATACTTGCATAAATACATAGACCTTAGAGGACACAAGTCCCCCTGAAGATATGTAACCTCATCTCAGATAATAATTCAGTTCCTTCAGTTTTGAAATTGTGCAACATGCCATAGATAAGGTGAATTAGATTATTGCCATGCAGTTACTACAAAGGAATACTTAGATGGTCAAATTTAAAAGTCAATTTGCACAACTAATGTTTTAGTTCATATCCACTTTATTTAAAGTGTGCCAGGAGGCTTACTTGCAGAGCTTGAAACCTATTTCAGCTTGGTGTGTGCGTCCTAGCACTTGAAAGGAGTTTTTCTTTCAAACTTCATCTCATTTTCCAGCTGTGGTTCTAGTTTAGATACTTCTGCAACATAGAGAAGCATACTGTTTGACCAACAGGAGAACATTCTCCAACAAAATTAATTACAACTACAGAATTCTGCAATAGTAATACATACACATAAGTTATAGATACAAGTATTTGTTTTCAAGTCAAGCACGCAGAAACTAAAAGCATTCACTAATCTACTTCAATAAGTTTGAAAGAAACTGCAGATAACGAGATCCAACCTACTTGGAGTCTGGTCTTGACAACCCACAGTGGATTTGCTGCAATTGCTGTGACAGCACCAGCGCCTGAAGCAGCAATCATATTTGCACCAAATGTAAGTTGACCACTGTTATTCACTGTATTATCACAGTATGAAATGTTAAAAGAAATCAAAACAACCAACTGAACAAAAATTGGCAATCATATTAACACCAAATATAAGTTGACTACAGTTATTCACTGCATTATCACAGTATGAAATGTTAAAAGAAATCAAACCAACCAACCAAACTTCACAGTTCACAGGTACAACAAAGTGTCTCATAACAACACAAAATAATCAATTGATAAATGGGAACATTATAAAAAGCTTTACCAACCACGCGTATGGAGCAGGTCTTTCAGATACCCATAGACTGTGAAGTACACCTACTTTAAAAAAATATATATAGTTTTGTCACTTACAGAAATATAAAGAAAATATAAGAGGGAAAACAATATTGAAATTGTATTCTAAATATCAATTCAAGAAATATTCTGTGAAAAGAAATTTGATTTCCAAGAAACACATAAGAAGGATAAAAGCATGTAGCAAAATCTTATAAAACAATGAAAAAAATATTGTTGGGAGAGATTAGCTTGAGCCAGAGCTTTTAAATCGAGGGGGGAAAGTGAGAGGATTCTACTACATTTTGCACACACAATTACCAAAGAGGTAGCTTCTAATATGGTTGTTTTCCCACAATGACTTGATGAAACTAGAAATACAGATATTGCTTTGCCCCAGAAAGAATTCCCAGGGAGAACAAATTACTAGATAAATAAAGAAGAAGCAACGGATAAGATTGGAACATTCGTAAGACCCACATGCAGTGACAAAGTAACAACAAAAATTGCCTTAGAACACAGGTAAATGAGCCCGCTCTATGGGCAAAAAATATTTGGTTCCATCATAAATTTTCCGAAATGGGTTGGCTGTCCTGGAGGCTTTATCCTAGTTCTCTGGAACAATGATTGAATTCTAAAAGTTCCCTATTTTGCAGAGACATAACTAAAATGGGAACCAAAGCAAGTTTTTTCATTACGGAAGCATTCAACTTATAAAAGAATTAACAAAAGAAAGAAAGAGGGGATTTCTGGAGATTCGGGCAGAAGAAAACCACAGGCTGATTCCTTTGTTGGAACTAAAAACTCCTCAACAGTGTAACCATAGTGACTGCGCATAAGCAAGCAATGAGCACTGTCTAGAAAAGAAATCCAACCAAATGGGAGGGGAGAATACATTAAAAATCAGCAAAGATATGAAGGTGCACTCAAGTATATAAAATTTTTAATATATATATATATATTTGAAGCTGCAATGGCTTCTATAATAAAGGAGTACTGGTCATTAATCTTCAAGAACAACTCAAGAAAAGTAATACTCACTGCCCAGTTTGGAAGTAGTGCCACCAATGTTGGTGAAAGGCCACGGTACAGTCCCTTCAAACCCTCAGTTCGTATTATATTCTGTAGGTTTGTAATAATGATACTACTTTATTGTCACCAAATATGAAGCGCATTAAGTACATCAACATATATAAGAAGAGCATGTGTAAATTTTTTTAAAAAAATGAACATTTGGAGAGAGGAAGCTAAAAAAAAAAACTCAGCCCAAAGGTCAAGCATCATTTTTCTATTTGTATAGCTCATCTATATATGAGCTATATATTCCTTGGGCCTTTCATTTTAGTAAATTCATAGTTATTTATCAGGGAAAATTAGTTTCCATCTCTAAAACCAAATAATAGAAGAGGAATTGAAAAATCTATAAATATTAGACCAATATGGTTGATTGTGCAAAATTCTAACATATTAACATAATTTCTTTCCCCAGAAAATCCCTATGTGCACTGGTGGAGATTTTGTGCTAGCCAGGGAAAATTAGTTTCCATCTCTAAAACCAAATAATAGAAGAGGAATTGAAAAATCTATAAATATTAGACCAATATGGTTGATTGTGCAAAATTCTAACATATTAACATAATTTCTTTAGGGGTGACCATTGGTTTAATGGTTAAAACTTGGCCTAATAACCTTGAGGTTATGGGTTCAAGTCTTGGGCCACCACTTTACGCTTTATGCCAAAAAGGTTAGGTGTGTACTGAATCTTTCCCCTCCCAAACACACATTAATGTGTACTTCTTGGGCGTTGTTTTTTATTAACATAATTTCTTTCCCCAGAAAATCCCTATGTGCACTGGTGGAGATTTTGTGCTAGCCGAAGAGGCTAAAGCTTGTTAATAGTGATGTCTTAACCAAAAAAAGAGGGTAATGATGATGTGTGTTGCATAGTTTGATAATGGTATTACAAGGAGATAAAGTCAAAAATTGTTAGTTGTTAGTTGTTACATGAAGCCAAGTGGACTACTGTACTCACCCGAGTGGTAGAGAAAGGTCTTATACTCCTATTACGGAGCTCTTACATGGTTAGAGTAATTGAGGTTCATTGACTTCATTATATTCCATAAAGGTTAGATTATGCAAGATAACTTTAATAATGAAAAATGCCAAAAATCATCTTTAAAATATTGAAAATGTGAAGATGTGTGCATGTTTGGCTCTATCTAATACTTGATTAGTTGATTTCTTTCTGACATGTTGGTTCATTGCTTTCCACTTGTAACCATTGGCAAGGCAATTTTTCTACTATAGTTTTGCTGAGGAAAATTAATCTCTTTCAGACAAAGGTAACCCACTTGTCTTTTGGTCATAGGCTTATAGAAAGCTTGAATTTTGACGGGTTTTTTCCCTTATTTTCAAACATGATTTCCTTTTATCTACTTGCTAACCTTTGAACAAACTTAGAATGGTGAACTTATAATTGTGGAATATATTCATTTAATGTGAATTTCAATATTGATGAATTGCATGCTTTGAAAAGTATTAGAAATTTCAAATTGTTTTCAATTAGTTATGTTGTCATATAGTGGAAGAATGTAAAAATAAATAAATAATTGGAATTTCATTTGGACTTCAAAGGATTTTACCTTCCATACCTTTGAATTTTATAACCAAAATGGGTAAATATACTCTTAGCATACAATAGGTGATGGACTTGATGAATTGCATGCTTTGAAAAAAATTTGAAATTTCAAATTGTTTTCAATTAGTTATGTTGTCACATAGTGGAAGAATGTAAAAATAAATAAATAATTGGAATTTCATTTGGACTTCAAAGGATTTTACCTTCCATACCTTTGAATTTTATAACCAAAATGGGTAAATATACTCTTAGCATACAATAGGTGATGGACTATGTCTATTTTTTGTAATCTAACAAATAGAGAAGAATTATGTTAGGATCATTAGAACTTCACATATATATTATATAAAAATGCTTTGCCCAAAGATGTTTTGTTTTTGATTAAAGAAATTTAGTGAAATCATTTGCCACATTTGTGAGCAAAGAATTGATCCTTGTATTGAATATATTAATACAAAATGGTTACCTCCATTAATTTTGTGGAAGAAAGTGTAATCCTATACTATAGGATTCAGTTTTTGGGTCCCTCATCATCTATCCCTTTCGTAACACTAACTGAATGAATTACCAAATAAAAGTCATTTTATTACAAGCTTTTTACCATGTTAATAAATTGAAGTATGATTTGAAGACAACTCCACATTAAGGAGTAAGGTTCCCTTTTCAGCATTCTCAGAAGTGCATAAAGAGCCTACAGCTTATAGCACATAAAGAGATCACAGCAGGAACTAATAGTTTAATGTCACATAACGCTCTATGTTCTACTGTCCCTCTACCTAGGAGATTTGAAGTCTAGTTCGATTGCTTTAGAATGGACTGCAATTTAATCTAATATGTAATTTCAATTGTTGTATAGACTCACATATAGCAAAGTTCACTATGAAAAATTGATGCTTCCAAAATCCAAAGAATGCACCTCTAACTAACCACAGTTACAAATGATTTTAACATTTATTTACCAACAACCCAATTTCATCAACCTTCTTACTAGTCAAAGTTCAAAAGAAAAAAACAAAACAAAACAAAACCCTTGTTGCGCTTTGGCACAAATAGTTTCTGCAAAAACAATCAACTTCCATAGTGAAGCTTTATTTGGTTCACTGGAATGAGATGGAATGGAATGGAATTGTCGTTCCTTAGGTTCTCCTATGGAATGATCATTCCCTTATAATGGCAAATGGCGATTCCATGTGCAATGTATTTTTCATTATTTTTTTAGTCAACCAAACACGAGAATGGATATTTTGATGGAATGACCATTCCATTACCTGAGTTTTCGGTACATTCCAGTTTCAGAAAGATACTTAAGACAAAAGCATTATTACAGTCCAAAAATGCTACTGTACAAACAAACAAACAAACAAACCGTACTGGTTTAAGCTATAGAGTAAAAAAAATTCATACAAGAACACATACCATTTGGACCAGAATGGTGAGCTTCAGGAAGGCCATGGACTTGCAATCTGGTTTTTATCACATCCAATGGGCACACAAAAGTGGCAGCTATAGCCCCTGCAGAGCACAAAATTCGCATATGATAAACCAAAAACTGACTCAATCGACAGCTTGTGATCGAAGCATTCACACAATGGACAATTAACTATCAAAAGCACCAAAAAGCTTAACAAATTCACTAGCTTTATCAAAAATCAACAAAAATATCACGAAACGAACAACCCCTAACTGAAATCACAAAAACTCAAAAACACTTTTTAAATCAAAATTGAGGGATTTTGGTAAAAAGAGCAAAACCTGAGGCGGCACCGGCGGCGGCGTCGCAGTTTATTTTCTTCGAGCTCCGACGATCATCTTGAAGAGCACAACCGCGCGCCGCCAGCGGTCATCTTGAAGAACTACTTGACTTCAATTATTCCACAATGGCATACACATATACATACATACATACATACATACATATATATATATATATATAACTTCTCAGTGCAACATTATTCAAAGCCGCCTAATACTTGAAAGCAACTAACTTTATGATGCCGTTTGTTTGGTAATGTAAGCTTTTTTTTTATTTAAAAAAATAAGTTGACATGTTTATGATTACTTTTTATATAATAAAAATAAAAATATGTATTTGGTACGTAGATCATTTATATGTTGGAATGGAAAATTTTCTCATTCTAATACACATTATATGTAATCTTATTATAGAATTACATAAATGTTTACAAATTTACGTAACTGATAACTCAAAGATGATGGCCAACCACCAAATGTGGGGAAACTTCTTTTACACATTACTTTCTCTTTTTCCCTATCTTTTCTCAATATACATACTAAATAAATTTAAATTATCAACTTTCACTCAATAAACATCTTACCATACCAAAAATATCCTTACTATCTTCATCTTTCAAACCCTCACCCTAACAAACCACCACAGCTATTACCGTCACTGGCAGCACCTCTTTGTGGCTCGGCCTTTTTCGCACCTCCTTTCGGAAGGTTTGAAAGAAAGCCCTACATTTCGGACTCCCGCGGTTCTGAATCTAATCTAACAAGTGCAATATGAAATTGATAATCACCAAAGAGTTCATGTCCGACAAATCTTTTAGAAAATTGATTTTAGGATAAAAAATACCAAAATTGGACTGATTTGTCAGATACAGAATCGCCACCTAAATATTTTATTTTTTAGGAAATTTAGGAAACTCATGACTCGTGCCAAAAGTCACGTGTTCGTCATCACCAAAGTTGGCTCGGTTCAGAAACTTGGGTATGAGAGGGGAAGGTCATGAATTGAGTACCCCCGTTCGATCGATCAAAGATCAACCTCTACTAATCATGATATGATTTTTTTTTATAAATATTATATACTCTTATTCCGATTATTAAACTAGCATTACTATGTGATGCACATAAGCAAGTATAGACTAGTTCGCTCAATTTGGAACAATTCAACTTCATGTTTGTTTGTGAAAAATGGTTTGAATTTGCTACCTCAAGTAGGCTTAAAATTTACGAATTTGCCACCAAACAAAGTGGGTTTAAAACTGATTTGCCACTCAACAAAGTGGGCCTAAAACTTACATTTGTTGAATCATTCTAATTCAAGCAACAAGCCTTCACCCGCAGGCATTTAAGCAATTTTAGCAAGTAAGCCTTTAGCCTCATGGTAAGCATGCTAAACATGGCAATTACCCACACTCATGCAAGTATGCTAAAGTACTAAAAACTTTCATAGTACTCCAAGCTAAGAAGATATGAGTTAGAAAAATATGCTTGATTCCTAACTATACAAGATGTCTAATGCAACACATGCAATCTGCAATTTAATAGGCTCGGCTACTAATATGGCATATGAAGCAATTTTGATAACATGTGGTGAAACACGTATTCAACGATGTAATTGAAACAACAATGCAGTTTGAATAATGCGCCGAGCCCCGGTGCATGCAAGACAAGATGAATATATGCAAGCATAAGGTATGCTAATTGAAACATGATGTCTTTAAACTAACCATCGAAAGCGATTAAGTAAAAAGGAGAAACATGTGGGTTTGGAAGACATGCACATTATTACATTTTGCTCTCACGAAGGAGAGTCCGAATGAATAAGAACGAAAACTAATTAGCTAAGCTAATTAAACTAATTAGGCTAATTAGGCTAATTATTACAAACCAAAGTGAAACAAATAGCTAAGCTAATTAACTAATTATTACAACAATTGAATGAACTAATTAGTAAGCTAACTAATTAAGTTACAACACCAATGTAAGTAACCTAAGTAATTAAGATATCTAACTACACTGTCACTATTCCACCTCGAGAAATGGAAGATGTACATGCTAGGATACCACCCGAAAAGACCTCTATTTTGCTCTCGGAAGCCTCTGTTTGTAGAGTTGAACACTTCTAGAACCATTCTGCCCCACCTTACCAACATTCTGCTGAAGTTTGTATCAGTGGCCAGTCGGCCACGGGTAGATACTGTCGGCCATCTGCTAGCTATGAAAGTGGCCTGCCGGCCACTGATGCACTAGATCATAATGCTGCAGCAGAGTATAAACAGAGCAAAAAGAGAGTATTTCCAAGGATTGTTTGTACAATTCACCCCTCATTTTCATGAATAAATCCAAGGAGTGGTGAACTTAAGGCACAAACCACCAATCCAAGCAATTTCATTGCATGATGGCTTCTGATTCAAGATGTGCAAGCTCAATAAATGCAAAACAAGACACTCAAGATCAATCATCCTATCATGCATGATCAAGGGCAATGGAGACCTAGGAAACTTGAGACATTTCATCACTTTGAGTATGAAATGTCCCAATTTTCCTTGTGTTGAATTAACGTCCGATTGAACACACAACACACAACACACAAGTTATTATCTTGCTCAATTTTAGTCCCAAGTTGTTAGTTACTCATTTTAACTTTACCAACCATTACTTAGTCAATTAAGTCCAAAGGTGAGTTAGAGTCGTCTAATGGAAAGAAGGCTCAAAACACAAGTTGCTTTGGGTATGAAAGAAGTCTCATACCATTGGTAATGAACCCTAAAGGAATTAAACCATTAAGTATGAAACCTCAATTTCACATTTAGGTAAACAAATGACTTGAAACAACTTTCAAAGCAAAAAGAAAAACCAAGAAAGGAGGGAGGTTGTAGAGGTGATTAGTGCTGAAATGAAGTGCAAAACAATGCTAAAGCATGCAATCAACTCAAACAATAGGTGCCTAATGGCCTCAAACACCACCCTTGTGAGGACCTTTACACTACAACCATGTTAAACTAGACTCAACTGAGCCAAACAGCCAAAAACAGAGCTAAAGAAATCTAAAACAAAGGCAAAAACATGTTGGAATATAGCTATAAAAAACTAGAAAAACATGCTAACACATGGAGTTAACTAGGCTAGCAAACAAGACACAAGGAGGGGAGGCTAACCCCTCCAATTTTGGACTTCAAAACATGTTTTTTGCCACTAAAAATATTCTAAAATTCAGTGGTTAAAAGCCCCAAAAAAGATGATTTGAAAAGGGGAAACAAAGGTGCAAAAGTCTTAGAAGCAAGGAATAAAGAAGGGTGAGACACCCGTAACCTTAAATGACTTAAAACACCAATTTCAGCCCATTAAAATAGAGATTTTTACAACTCAAAAATGGCCCAAAACAGTGGGAAGAAATAGAGAAACAAGTATACTAAAACAAGTTAATAGACAAGTATTATACCTTCTGAAGCCAAGCATAACTTTAGGCACAAATGCAAGCCAAAACCACCTTCAAGAGCTCCAACAAGATCTCAAGGGACCTCAGCTCAAAGGTGATCAATTTTGGTTAAGGATATGTATGCAAAAGAGTGGTATAACTAGGCAAGTATGCACAAAATTGCAAGAGAGAGAGAAATGTAGAGAGAGAGAGAGAGAGAATTTTTGAGTTTGAAATCTTCTAACCTCAAAACATAAGAGAGGGACTCCCTATATATAAAAAATATGAATTATATACAAGGAGATCCAGCCCTCCACGTGTGGACAGATGCAAGCATCTGTGCAAACAGTTGGCACAGTTGGTATAAAATATCTGTAGAAAACACTGGTGGCCGACAATTCATCATTGATAGTTGGCAAGGCACATTAATGGCTTGCAGATCAGAAGTTTTGGCCGGCAGCCTTCATAGATGGTTCGCAGGCCACTAGCGACTGCAGAAGGGAAAGTCCAAGACATAGTCCAAAAATGAGACAAAATGGATGCATGGTTTGAAAGGCTCAAACCTGTGGCATTCCACTGAGAATTTCAAGTGCTCGGCAAGCAAATAGACTCATCACCGGATGTACGTGCAAGAATATTCAACTCTCGAAAGGGTTGTCAAAAACTGGGGTGTCTACACTCTTTCCCTTCCCTTTCATTTCTAGTCGTTACCCTCACCCCTCCCTCTATTTGCTGGTGCCATTTTCGTGACCTCCATCATCGAAATCAATCTCTGATTTCCTCTCTCTCTTAATCGCGAAGTAGGGCTGTTACCGGCGCCACCATTGCAACCTTAACCCTCTCTCCTTGAGATCGATCCCTCTTTCTCTTTCTCTCTATCACAGTCGCAAAAGGCTCAGAAAGTGGAGGCGGTGGCGATTCGCGTGGCGGCAGTGAGAGATGAAGGCAAAAGAAGATCACAGTGGTGAGCAATGAAGGCAGAGGGAGATTGCAGTGGTGCACTGATCTTTTTCTCAGGCAAAAAGGAGTCGTAGTAGTGGGGAAGAGGCGACGGGAAGAGGCAACATGAAAAGTGGGGAAAGACGGCGGCCATGGATGGTGATGGTGGAAACTAATGGTTTGAGAGAGTTAGAGTTTGGGTTTTAAGAAAGGGATATTTTGGTAATTTAATTTTAGGACAAAAATGTAATGAAAAAAAATATCATTAAGTGTGTGGAAAGAAAGGAAGTAGTGTGTGAAAATAGAATTTCCCTTAAATGTGGTGATTATAGGTTATGGTAGCCAAGGGTAGTTAGTGGATGGTGGCAACAAAATGACATGGAAGAATGATGAATGAATAAGAAGGGAAAAAAAATTTAATAAGTGAAATTAATTTTTTTGTGATAATAAGTTTTTTTTAAAATATAAATGCATCCCAAATAATTTTTTGTTTATAAGTTTTTAAATATTTATAAATAGAAATAGATATATTTCAGAGCAAACATAATTTAAAAATTCTTTATAAATATATAAAGAGAAAACCATAAACTTAAATATAACTAAGCTTCTATTTATAGCAAATTTTTATCTATTTTTTTTTATGGAAAATTTATCTATAATTTCCATCTTAAGGAATGGTGATTTAATTAGTTCCAAGAGTTTCTTATAGACCAATTAATCCCATTGATTTTGGAAAGGTAAATTTAGAGTACTGGTAGTAGCACCTACCTTTTTCCTTTGGACCTCCACCTCTTTTATTTATTTATTTTTATTACAATTTTGCCCTAACACTAATTTCTATTTTTACCCCTCTTTATCCTTCTAACCCTAACCCTCACCCTCCACCTCCACTTCAGCCAACAGCCTCCTCAGACAACTTCCCTCCTCCTCTCTCTCTCTTCTTTTTCATCTTTAGCAGATCCGAACACCCTCTACCTCACCATCACCTCCTTCACAACTGCTATCACTACTGCCTTCCTCTACCACCAACCACAAAACGTAAAACTATTCTTTTTTTGTTTTTGTTTTGTTTTGTTTTTTTTCTACTGTTGAAGATTCAAACTCTAATCTCATTATCTTTCTTCTCCTATAATATGTTCTCACAACAACTCCCTAAACTCTCTTTCATCCAAAATCTCAAAGCTCAATTCGAGGCACAAATGCCCCAATTACATTCAAATTCGACGCGAACTTCTCGAAAGCAACGAACGTAACCAGCGATGGTGTAAGTCAAGAAGAGCAGCGAATTGGGGATCGAACAGAGGTGCTTGAAACTTGGCGTATCGGGAAGCGAGTTTAATGGGATGAATAGAGCGACCGAGTCGTAATAAAATGGCAAGGAGGTGCCAAGCTTTGTGTAGTTCGGTGTTGAATATTGATACTATGTTTTTCACTGTGGCAAGGCTTGAATTTGTGAGAGGAGCTTCCATGGAGGTCCGAATCTGGAAAGAATGGGTTGGGAAAAATCACCGGAATTGGGATGAGCAGTGACTGACGATGGTGGTTATGCGGTGGTAGCGAGAGAGAAAGAGAGGAGGGGAGCCCCGTGGCAATGGTGGTGGTGGTGGGTCGTTAGAGAGGTAGGACTGCCGGGCATTGTTGGTGGGGATGAGATTAGGGTTAGGACTAGGGTTTCTGTTTGGTTTGGAGTTAGGGGTATAGCTGGTATTAAGGCAGGGGTTCAAAGAGAAAATGAGAAGATTCATTTTTTGGATGGGAGTTCAAAGAAGTTGGGGGCCCAAAGTAAAAAGGTAGGGGCAAATAGCAGCCCTCATAGATTTAATTTATTATTTAAAAATTAAACTTACGATTATACCCTTGTTTGAATTATATTATCTTCCTTTTCGTCTTTTGTGATAGAAAAGTAAAATACACAACCTAATATAATCAAATTTGGGATGAATTTTTATATGAAAATCTTTTTTATTCGGAATGATTTGAAATATGGGATTCTTCAAACATTCTAAAAAGGATGTGAGATTCATCAAATATTGCAAAAGGAGTATAAAAACTCCTTGGTAATTTTTGAGCAAATGTATAATTTCAATCTTTAACAGTCCAATGTAACATTTAAACCTAACACTCTAATATAACATTTCCTTATTATACTTTTTACAAATATAACACTCCAAAAAAACTCCTTATTGTAACACTCCAATGTAACACAGAAAAAAAATCTTTAGTGTAATTTTTTCAAACGTATTATTCCAATGTAACACTCCAAAAAAAGGATGTGAGATTCTTCAAGCTATTCCAAAAGGAGTACAAAATTCCTTAGTAAACTTTGGGTAAATGTATAATTTCAAACTGTGAGTGTTACGTTTGAAAAAAGTACATTAAGTAGTTTTTTTAGTATTTTTGTATATGTTGCATTCGAGTGTTACGTTTGAGATTACATTAATTAGAGTGTTATGTTTAGGAAAAATACACTAAGAAATTTTTTTGTGTGTTACATTAGAGTGTGTTACGTTAGAGTATTACGTTTGAGAAAACTTTAGAGTGTTACATTGTTACATTTAGGAAAAGTGCACTAATGAGTGTTTTAGTGTGTTACATTGGAGCGTTACGTTCTTATTCGTAATGTGGGATTTGTTCAAGAAGGAGAAAAAATCCAAAACCTCTATAATGCGAATTGCCCAAATGTGTAATTTCCTATTTAGAGAAACTCACTTTTATCCCTCAAAAACTAAACCCAAACGTGTAAGTGATTACTCTTTTGTATAATTTCTATTTTAATGGAACCTTTGAGTTTATAAGAAAAAATATATGACTAAATAGTTCAGAAGATCATATTTTGGGATTTATTAGTATTTCACCCTTTTTTTATTTGGTAATTCAGGGTATTCGTGTCAACTTACACGTACCTAACTAAGGCCTTGTTTTGGGACTAGCTATTTTAGCCAAAAAGTCAAAAAGTAACTATAAGTTATCACATCACTCTCTCTACTTTTTTGCACATCTTTTTGCAAAAAATAAAAAAATTACTAAAATAACTTGTTCCTAAATGAGGCCTAAGTCATTACAACCCCTCTCACAGTCCTTTCGCCTCACCCACTCCACTACTACCTCCCTCATTTCCTCCACTTGTTTGCATATCACCAGCTATCACTACTAGCCCTCGCCACCCCATCCACACCTCTGCCTCCAATTCATTCTAATTACTTAATTTAGATGCTTAATTGATTTATATTAACCCATGGGTGAAAATTGATCTTTACTAATTATAGTTGAATATGGTTAATTTGGATAATTGTGATTCATCAACATCAACATGATTGGTCTTCATGGCAACCTAGGAACAACAACTAGTGAGGAGGCAGAATTATAGGATATATATAAAGGTCTGCCATCATTTTCGAGAAAGGCATGAAGAAAGTCATCATTGAATCTGATTTGGAACAGTTGATTAATTTAATCAAAGGAGAGACTTATCTCAACTTTCCCCAACGAGCTTTGTTTGAAGACACTAAGTTCCTCATGGAGCGTTGTGATTACTCTTTCAACCACGTCTGGTGCAAAAGAAATGTATGTGCTGACAGTCTTGTCAACATGGATGCAATTAACCAAGACCCTTTGATTGTTTTTTAAGACCCTCCTAATCAACTTGTAAGTCTGTTTGTTGCACAATTGTATGTGCTGACACCCTTTGGTTGTTTTTTAAGACCCTCCTAATCAACTTGTAAGTCTGTTTGTTGCACAATTGTATGTGCTGACACCCTTTGGTTGTTTTTTAAGACCTTCCTAACCAAGACCATTTCATGTGAGAGGCACTAGTTGCCCTCTTGTTCTCAATTTGTTGTTATGTCAAAAAGAAAAAAAAACATGATTAATAAACATAAGTGTGATTAAAAAAATATATGTATGATTGATTACCCATAATCAAGGTGGTTAATATTAATCAGTTAGTCATAGCATAAGTAATTGTGTACTTAACACTTTTTAAGAGCTTGTTACTATACTAACAAGGGTGTGTGTGGGAGAGATCTATATTAATTGAGGAAGATCCAAATGGCAAGACCTATACTACTTTAGAAGATAGATTACTAGTTTCCAACCAAAAATAAAATAAAATGATGTGTTAGTTTGAGTTTCCTAGAGAGGGATATGGCACTTTTCCTCTATGATGTTGATGTTGTCAACACATACAAACTAGAACATATAATCGGTTTAATCCTCATTCTAAGCGTACCAAACTCTTCCCAAGATCCAAATACATCAAAAACTAATACTTAAGGATCACAAAGATGAGGGAATCACCTTCAATCTCAACAACAATCCAAACTAAAGTTTCTCACAACATAACCTACATTTCAATTCATGAATTCCTCATTCAAAAGAATCAAAACTGATATAAATGGAGTTATTTTCAAATTAAAGTGAAGAATAAAGACTTAGGAGTAAATTTATATCTTGAATCAATTCTAAACTAAGCTTACAGAAGTTCCATCAAATTGTTGTTTTCCTTTACTTTCTCATACTTTATTTTTAATCAAACATCAAAATATGTACCTCACTAATTTAATGTTGAAATGAAGGAAGTTAATGTGATTTTGTGTACAAATTGATAATGCAATATGGTCAATAGAGGATGGGTTGGACTGATCCACGCATTTAACAGGCGCAGGGTCTTCGTTTCCTTAATGCCTACCTGCAAAAAGATCCGGTGGAGAGATACCAAGGTCGGAGTGGTTCCTCCTCATGGACACTAAGACGATCAAGTTAGATTGGGAGTGATCAAGAAGAAGAGAGTGAGAAGATTAGAGAGAGGGAATAAAGTATCTTATATTACCAAACGTACTTTGGAAGCTTCCTTATACTGCTTGCCCATCATTTCCTTGTCTATTCCAAGCTGTCTTATTGGCCGAAAGTCTATAGTCTAGTTGCCACCGTTCACGGTGATTCTACATACTCCGGCGTGAAGGGTCCTGCTGCATTTAATGCTATGATGGCCTCATTTAATGGTAGATGTGTGGGCTCAATAATTCTGCAAGATCTTTGTCTGTTTATGTGGCTAACTTTCCTTCCGACGGGTGTTTAAACACTATTGGACTTGGCCCAACCTGAGCTTTCCAAAGCTACTGGGCTTTAACCGTGTGATTGTCTGGAAGGCTTAGGACAAGGGTGGATTGGGCCTACATGGCCACGGGTTGGGCCCTCATGGGCTATGTCCATCAATAGTCCCCTATTTCCAAGTGCGGCTTCAGTCCAACAAGGAAATAAGAAAGGTAAAGGTAGTCCCCCAAGTCGGGAAAGGGTGAATAGGGTGGGCAGGTAAGTTCAATTGTAGAGGGTGGAAAGTCGTCTTTAGGGTCGACCGACAAGGTGGTCAACCGCGAGGGTGGTCGACCATGGAGGTAGCCGACCGACGAAGGGACCAACCATGAGGGTGGTTGACCGTAGAGGTGGCTGACTGATAAGGGGACCAACCGGAAGGGTGGTTGATCATGAAGGTGGTTAACCATGAAGATGGTCGATTGTGAAAGACGGTCGATCGTCAAGGGTGGCTAACCGACAAGGGGACCAACCGTGAAGGTGGTTGACCATGGAGGTGGCCGACCAACGAGGGGACCGATCATAAATATGGTTGACCATAAAGATGGATAAGTGTGAATGACAGTCGGCCGCCGAGGGTGGCTTTGATTGTGCATAGGGCTCGAGGGGCAGAAACGCACATGATGATGTGAAGTGGAAAAGACGGGGAAGGAGGGAGACTTAACAGCGGTGAGGATGAAGCGGGGTAATCTGGGCCATTGATTAAGATATTGTACCGTTGATGAAAAGTGAAAGGGTTTATAACGGGGGATTTTGAAAAGATGGGGGTTTTAACTTGGTTGTTGGGTTTCAAACTGGCGAAATTTAACCATGACCCTTGGAACACAGGCAAAAAAGGCGGGAAAGGAAAGAGAGTTAACAGCCGTGAGGATGAAGTAGGGTAATCTGGGCCTTCGATTAAGATGTTGTACCATTGATGAAAAGTGAAAGGGTTTATAGCGGAGGATTTTGAAAAGGTGGGGGTTTTAACTTGGTTGTTGGGTTTCAAACTGGCAAAATTTAACCATGATCCTTGGAACATAGGCAAACCATGGGTATTTGGTTTTGTGTGATTTTCGTATCTTATTGCGAGAAACTGACAGATCCTAGACTTTACCGCTTTCGTCTCGTGTGAGTCTCCCTTATTTCATATCTCAAACCTTTTTCACCCCGCAACCGAGGCGATTTACAAAAACGTGAGAGATATGACACAAAAGAGAGCCCCTGCTATGATGCCGGACGCTGTAGCTCGGCTTTTTCGTACCCTCTTTCTGAAGTTCGAAAATATAACTCATACAGTTCAGACTCCCGCGGTTTTGAATCTAATCTCACAAGTGAAATGTGAAATTAATAAACACCAAAGAGTCCAAATCTAACAAATCTTTTGAAAAATCAATTTTGAATCAAATTGCCAAAAATGGACTGCTTTGCCAGATATAGAGTCACCACCAAGATTGTCTCGGCTCGGGAACTTAGGTATGAGAGGGGAAGGTCATGAATACATTTGAGCACAACCACTCGCCCGATCAAAGATCGACCTCTACTAATCATGATATGAATCTTATGTACATTATATGCTCTTGTTCCGGTTTATTAGGCTAGCATTACTATGTGATGCGCACACACACAAGTATAGACTAACTTGCAAGGATTGGAACACTTCGAGTCATGTTGTTTTGAAAGTTGTTTCGAAATGTGTACCACTTGAAAAAGTGATCGCATATAAACATTACTCAAATTATTCCAATTCAAGCAACAAGCCTTCATCCACAAGCATTCAAGCAGTTATAGCACTTAAGCACTTAGCCTCATGGCAAGCATGGCAATACTAACATACTATGCAATATGCTAAAGCGAGTAAAGAATCACCAAGTACTTCAAGCCAAAATGAACAAAAGAGTTAGAAAAAATGCATGATTCCTAACTTATGTAAGATGACTAATGCAACACATGCGATATGAAATTACTCGGCTCAGTTACTAATATGGCATATATGACAATTTTGATAACATGCGGTCTAAGCACGTATTCAAAGAAGTATTGAACTAACAATGTAGTTAGAATGATGAATCGAGCCTCGGTACATGCAATACAAGTGGATGCAAACATAAAGTATGCTAAACAAAACATGATATCCCTACACTAACCATCATAATCTAGTAAATAAAAGGAAGAAAGACGCGGGGTTGGAAGACATACACATTATTACAAGTTTGCACTCTCACGAAGGAGAGTCCGAATGAACTAACTAGCTAATTAAAGCTAAGCTAATTATTACAAAACGAATGAAATAAATTAGCTAAGCTACTTAACTAATTATTACAACGCTTGAATTAACTAACTAACTAGTTAACTAACTAATTGCAAAACAAAATTGAATAGCTAGTTGAGCTAGCTAATTAAATACAACACTTAATTAGCTACAACTAATCAAAAACAAAAAATATTTAATCTAAATATTTAAGCTAAACAAGCTTGATATGCAAAGAATGCTCATGCTCGGTTTCCACTCGAAAAGCCACTGTTTTGCTTTTGAACGCCTCTATTTGCACAGTTGAACACCAACGTTGTTGCCCACTCTGCTCTGCCTTACCAACACACTGCTCAATTTTGCATCAGTGGCCGGCCGGCTAGTGATGAAGGTTGCCGGCCACCAGTGATGGCCGGCCAACCATCAAAGGTGGTCTGCTGACCACCTGCCAGCCATGGAAAGTGGCCTGCCGGCCACTGCTGCACAGGTTCATCTCGCTGCAATAGAGGACAAACAGAGCATATACAAGGTATTTCAAAGGTTTGTTTGCACAACTGACCCCTCCTTTTCATGAGCAAATCGAAGGAGTAACAAGTTCGGTTCACAAACCACCAATAGATGCAATTTCATTGCATGATGGCTTGTGAAACCAAGTGTGCAAGTTTAATTAATTTAAAACAAGACACAAACCTCCTCCCTTTCGTGAATGATCAAGGGAAGAAGTTGACCTTGGAGACTTGAATGATATCATCACTAACAAGTATGAAATGGTTCAAGCGTCCATGTGTTCAATTAACGTTTGATTGAACACAACCAAATTATCATCTTGCACCATTTTAGTTCCACTTTTAGTTACTTCATTTTAATTACCTTGCAATTCCTTAGTCACTTAAGTCCAATGGTGAGTTAAAGTCCTCTAATGGAAAGATGGCTTAAGACACAAGTTGCTTTGGGCATAATAGAAGCATCATACCGTTGGTAATGAACCTCCAAATGGATTAAGCCATTAAGTATGAAACCTCAATTTCATACTTGGGCAAACAAGTGACTTGAAACCAGTTTCAAAGCAAAATAAAAACAAGCCAAGAATGGAGGGAGGTTGCAGAGATTATTAGTGCTGAAATGAAGTATGAAAAGCCAAAAATAAGTGCTATCAACTCAAATAAGTGATGTCTAAGACCTAAAACATCAAGCTTATGAGGACAATTACACTAGAAGCATGCTATACAAAGCTTAAAGGATTGAAACAACCAAAAACGGGTCTAAAATAGTCCTAAACAAAGCCTAAAACATGCTGGAGCGGTTTTGAATCTAATCTCACAAGTGCAATGTGAAATTAATAAACACCAAAGAGTCCAAATCCAACAAATCTTTTAAAAAATCAATTTTGAATCAAATTGCCAAAAATGGACTGCTTTGCCAGATATAGAGTCACCACCAATATTGTCTCGGCTTGGGAACTTAGGTATGAGAGGGGAAGGTCATGAATACATTTGAGCACAACCACTCGCCCGATCAAAGATCGACCTCTACTAATCATGATATGAATCTTATGTACATTATATGCTCTTGTTCCGGTTTATTAGGCTAGCATTACTATGTGATGCGCACACACACAAGTATAGACTAACTTGCAAGGATTGGAACACTTCGAGTCATGTTGTTTTGAAAGTTGTTTTGAAATGTGTACCACTTGAAAAAGTGATCGCATATAAACATTACTCCAATTATTCCAATTCAAGCAACAAGCCTTTATCCACAAGCATTCAAGCAGTTATAGCACTTAAGCACTTAGCCTCATGGCAAGCATGGCAACACTAACATACTATGCAATATGCTAAAGCGAGTAAAGAATCACCTAGTACTCCAAGCCAAAATGAACAAAAGAGTTAGAAAAAATGCATGATTCCTAACTTATGTAAGATGACTAATGCAACACATGCGATATGCAATTACTCGGCTCAGCTACTAATATGGCATATGTGACAATTTTGATAACATGCGGTCTAAGCACGTATTCAAAGAAGTATTGAACTAACAATGCAGTTAGAATGCTGAATCGAGCCTTGGTACATGCAACACAAGTGGATGCAAACATGAAGTATGCTAAACAAAACATGATATCCCTACACTAACCATCATAGTCTAGTAAATAAAAGGGAGAAAGACGTGGGGTTGGAAGACATACACATTATTACAAGTTTGCACTCTCACGAAGGAGAGTCCGAATGAACTAACTAGCTAATTAAAGCTAAGCTAATTATTACAAAACGAATGAAATAAATTAGCTAAGCTACTTAACTAATTATTACAACACTTGAATTAACTAACTAACTAGTTAACTAACTAATTGCAAAACAAAATTGAATAGCTAGTTGAGCTAGCTAATTAAATACAACACTTAATTAGCTACAACTA